CATTCACCTCCTTATTAGATAGATGATTGCCAAGATTGCCCGTTTCGTATTGTATTACCCGAGCAGGCAATATGATCCGATGGGACAAGGTGTATCTTACCCGTTTTGGCAACATTTCCACACTTTTTTCTTTTAACGGATTAGCACATTAATCAAAGCTATAGCGCATGTAGACACTTATTCCACGTGATAGAGCGGCAAAAACTGCATCAAATAGAGTTTTCCTTGGGTGATACGGTGCTTTTTTCTACAGTCAGAAAACTGACCAACTATATCTGCCTAAGGATTACCTCGCCTGATCGGACATACTTGCCCGTTCGAGCAATATTTCCCGATCAGGCAAGGGAAAAAGATTGTCTAATTGGGCAAGATACCTTACCCGAATGGGCAATATCAATCTGACCTGAACGAGTAATATTGCCAAATCGGACAAGCTAAATACATACAATTGAGCTACGTTTGCTATTCGTCTCAGTCGTAAAAGAGACAGAACGTTGAACACTTAACTTTAATATACGGTGAATAATCAGTGCACGAGGGGTAGAATGAACACTTCCTATCCATTAGACGATTGATGATTCTCGAGATCAGATCTTGCCAATCGGGCATGTGACAACAGACTACCAGGATACTTATTAGCACACAAATATAATTCATATGCTTGATGACTTGGAGATTTTTTTATCAAGTCCGTTTGAAGTCTGAGCAGTTAAAATCCATCACATTCAACAACGGGATGGGTAGAATTTGATATCTAATTTATTAATCTTTTTTTTGCCAGACATGCATCTAATGTATGGATAAAATTTATTTACTCATCGTATATGAGTATGATCTACTGCATAGTGCAGAAACTAACGATATGAACTTGGACTTGAATCTGGACTTAACTTTGACCTGAACTCATTTAGGGTATTGCGATGAGTTTGTACTTGTAGAGGGAAGGGAAACGTTATTCAAAATAAATTTCTGAATCAGCCGTTTTGTAGCCCGCATCACACTATCTCTAATTCTGTAAGTTTTTTGAACACTTCGACGCCGCCGTGGATGGTTAAGTTAGATTTCTGCGCCGCCGCCGAAGGTGTCCCAGTTTTCTGGAGGTTCTCGCCGTAAAAGCTTATTTTATTTTGAATTTTTTCTGCTTAATACTGTTAATACTTTTCTTTTTTCAGATTTTTTTCGATAATAGTTAGAGATAATTGAACTTTAGATTTTGATTGAAAATAAAATAAAAGTTGTTTGATGAAATTGACAATGGATCTTGGCTTAAACTAAAGTTTTTTGTACTCAAATTTGAATGTGATTGGCCCCTCCGCTGACGACAGATAGCTTTAAATCTTTTAGCCGCCATCGCCGACGGCGGAAAATCTTTTAATGAGGTTCCACCGGCCCACACTTCTATTCATGAGCAGTAAAAGTCACGAACTACTAATTGACAACAGAACAGTATAACTTATTTTAACTTTAATAATATTTTAAACTTCGTTTCTTGGTCTCGATTTCTTTCTTTTTTCTCGTTTTATTGTTATTAATGTTGTTCAGTTGAAAATACTTTAAGTTCGGAGCTCTTCTAGTTGAAAATTTTAGGTTTAATCGTAAGATATGTAAGTTGATCAGCGTTTGTAAGAATCAGATTGTAACCCATTTTACTCTCTTTTTTATTTAACATACAAACATTCGGACTTCCTTTTTACGTACATATATATATATAGATGAATAACGGAAAACAATTATAGGAGAAATTAGATGCTGAGGGCCAAAACGTTCGACACAGTAATTAATTCATCGAGGTTATTATACTGTACTCAAATGAAGACTTGTTCTACATCTGATTGGAGTCTGAAATGAGCTCCATTAGCTGAGATGGTTTTCAGACGAGTACTACTCAATTGTATGAAAAACAGAAATTCGTTGATTTTTGTTTTCTGATACGTTACTTTCTTCCAATAAGTTCAAATTCACCCTTTTCTAGTATCATCTTATACTCATACTAACGGCTGGAGAAGAAGAATCTGATAACCAAAGAATAGTTGTTCTATTCATCTTTACTCTCACATTCTCATCATATTAATCTCGTCTTAGATAACTATATAAATAGTATAATATAAATATTAGCATATTAAGTGCAATAAACTATTGATATATATTCTGTGATTATAAGCGGAGCTAATTTCTGCTAAAATCAAGAGGATGGATAATGGTAAAGTAACGATACATTATAACGACAGATATTTTTCCATTAAACTTATATCAGCTCCATTAGTCTAATAAATCATGGGTTAAAATGTTTGATCTCAGAAAACAGATACAAACAGATGTTTCAGCATGGTCTGGAAATAATACTAAACTTTTCTATATCTTGCACACATTGAGAAAAATCGTCCATTCAAACTTTGTTCTAATATAAACGCGTTATATCTCGATAATAACAGACTGACATACGAAAAAAACAAGTCAACAAATCGGCAAACGAACGAATTAATAGCGTCAGAGTAAAAAGGTTTAATATGCCAGCAAAGAGCATTGATATAGATAAATAAAAAACAAATAAATCATAGTGTCAATTAATGATATGTAAATAGGTCATGTTTATGTTTATGAATAATAAAAATATGTGATCAACGTCGTTATAATAAAACTCAATAAAGATGATCAAAATGTCACCGTACGAATTGATGTATTAACTTGTAATGGTTGATCATATGGTTTATATAAAACCTAGAGATTGGCTATTATGACGAAAAATAAGCAATAATAGATTTGCTAAACCACACCTTGAATGCATATTAGACTGTATTGTGAGCTATATTGATCATGAGCGATATTGACAAAGCACGAGAAGTATCCATTTGTTTCTTTTTAACACACACATAAAGACAAAAACAAAGACAAAGACAAAACAATAATTCTAAAAATAAATAAAAATGACAAGTAGAACATTCATTAACGATGAGAAGCAGAATAGATAAAGTAAACATTATATGCTTGTAGCAGGAAGGTATTTTCGATAAAAATATCAACTCTTAGTAGCTTATGAGGAAAATTCGAACTGTCTCCTCGATTTTTTCCTGATAACCTGCTTGATTATGGATAATTTTTGATGATGCTCACAAGTCAACTATCCGTTCGCTCTTTCTCCATACAAAACTATTCATAATCAAGTAGGTTATCAAGCAAAAATCGAGGAGACAGTACCAAGCCTTTCGTTGTTAGCCAAAAATTAGAGAGATAAATTATATGTTAAATAGAATATAACTGATCGTAAATAAGATTAGAAAAACTGATCGACTATTATTTGCTGTAACAAGCCCTAAATTGTGCGATAAAGCAGAAGTAGTTAAATAATATAAAGCATGATCAACTATCATCATGCGGATCGATGATATTTAATAAATATTCTCAAGCAATGGAAGAGATAAAATAGTGCCAATCGAAATGCCTGCTAAATTTGGCAGTATGATGCATACCGAAAATGATTTAGTAACTCATGGGATTGTTATGCGAAGCTCATAAAAATATGTTAACTACATACGAAAAATTTGACTTTAAAAGGTAGCCGAATAAGTTGTTGGTGTAATATGAATATTTAAATGATAATCTTTATCTAATTCATTTACACCGATGGAAATTACATATTTATCCTGAATAACATTCATATCTGTACACTCTTGTTGTTGAATAGAAAATCGTTGATAATAACCTTTAGTGTTTAATATAACTTCGTAGGCACCAAAGCTATCAATTATCACTGGCGTTTCTATTATTCCCTTCTCATTTATAAAATCTTTCTTAATTCTATGTCGTTGTACACCGGAGCTGTCGGTCACAACACGCCAAACTTCAAGTTCAAGTTTTTCAGCAGCTTGATTATGTTTATCGTCTGTTACAGCTATTGTCAATCTTGCAGACATCTAAAACGCATAACTGAATTGTAGAAGATTTTACATCAACTTTGCTATTTATACTTAATGACATAGAAAAATAGTTTTAAAAACAATCGCTTTCTTTCAAAGAAGAATGATTCCCGATAGTGGAAAAAAAAGAATCACGAGTAAAATTACAAAATGAAGTCAAAAAATAGCATATTGCGCACATTGCATGATGATAGTTAGGAGAAACAGAGAAAAAAGGTGACAATTGTCTATACTATTATAAGATGGAGAAAATCAACAAACAAAGAACATTCGAAAAAAACAAGATGTCTGAAGTGATAGAATCAGAAATAGAGGTAGAAGTTTTCACAACAAAGATTAAAAGAAAAGACTTATGATAAAAAGAAAGAAAATAAAGCACATCTGCTAAGACAAGAGTCTAAATGTTATTCAACATTGGATTTGTAACTGAAGATCGACGGAATATACTTTGCCTACTACGTTATAATTGTAGAAATGGATAGAATGATCGATCCAGCGATACTTACCATCTATAGAAAGGGTACGTATTGCTACAGCATACTCAGTACAAAACGCTTTTTGAGCTTGCTAAGTGAGTCCAATACCTGAACAGTTGGCAGAAATAAACAAACAAATTAACGTAATCTACACAATACACACAATAAAAATACTTTTTCTCATTTCTTTAGCCTGCTTGCGATCCAGTCTAAACCCTGATACAGGCCTTCACCTGTTAAAGCACAACATGCTTGAATATGCCATGCATGATCCTTGATGGATGTTAAAGATAGTTGTTTTGATATTTCAGCTGATGTCATTGCATCTTTGATGTCCTGTTTATTGGCAAATATGAGAACACTTGCTGTCCGTAAATCTTCACTTTGTAACATTCGCAATAGTTCTTGTTTTGATAATGGTAACCTTTCACGATCGGTTGAATCCACAACTAATATGACATATTCAGTGTGAGAATAGTACGTTGACCAATGTGACCGTAGCGACTCTTGTCCGCCAATGTCCATCATAAGGAAATGAATGTTTTTGAATATCACTTCTTCAACATTACTACCAATTGTTGGTGATGTATGAACAACTTCATTCATTAAAAACTGATATAAAATTGTTGTTTTTCCTTTAAATAAGAAAATACGCATACAGTCAAATATAGTATTACGCAACAAGTTAACAGAAGAATATCACACGAGTCTAATATAAAGGAATTACTACACTGCAAACTTACCCGCATTGTCTAATCCAACAATAATAATTTTATGTTCTTCATTACCTGAAGATCAAAACGAATAAATTTATAACTATTCTCAAGAAAAATTAAATTAACTTACCGAACAAAGCCCAGATCTTGGAAAATAAAAAACCCATATTTCCTACTAACTGATGAAATGCAGTGTGATGAAAAGGCCAACTGTAGTCTTATTTAGTGTAATGAAGCTTGTATACTGACTAAGAATAACAAAAGTGATGACATTTACGTTTTACTAACATTAACAAAAGAATGACAACAGATTGAAGTAAAACCGGGGTAATTGTAAATACAAAAATCTAAAAATAAACGAACAGGGTAATGATTTAGGGCAACAATGATCAAAACTGTTTTGGTCATGGAGGCTAACGCCTCATCACTTACATGTTTTGGCGAAACATGTAAGTGATGAGGCGTTAACCTTTGTCAACTTTAAAAGTCTTGTTGGGAATACTTTTCTTCTTCAACGAAAAATATTTCTCTATAGTTTTGATGTGAATACATACTCATTATTCGTTTAGTCTCTAAAAATGTTGACTTCTGAAAATCACAATCGTTTAACATTATTATTTCTAATAAGTAGAATTTTCAATAGAAAAAGCCTAACAAAAGCAGCGGTTTGAATCATTTTATTTTATTTTAAATTCCGACGTTTCGATTTATTTAAAAATCATGTTTAAGGATAATGATTCAAACCGTTGCTTTTGTTACACTCGTTTAACGTGTAACATCGAGATAAATCAGTCCACATCAAGTTATGCTCTATTTTTCAAACTATGACCTACTCTTTTCAGAAATCTACGATATATCTAAAACTTTATATTTGATTCCACCATAGTTAGTAATGATTTGAAACTTTTAAAGAGTCAAGCAACCTGAGAAGAGTCATAGAGCATTAAATGTACTTAAAAAGTTTTTTAAAATCACAAGAACGCTTCAATAGTAGTAAACACCTGTTTCTAAAAAAGATTTGTTCTCTTGTTACATTACCAAACGTAACAAATCTTTGTTACTTTGTGGCTGGTAAAACGTAACAATGGTTTTATCAGCCACTAATAAAAAGTAAAAAAGTAGTACCTGTTGTTACTTAGTAGCTAATAACAAGTTAGATAAAATTGTCATTTGTTTCTGGTAACAGCAATGGTAATAAACCAGCGATAAACGCGTACATGTTGGGGATAACCCATCGCTAATTAGAAACACCGACTGGCCATCTTTTCAATCTATGAAGACTCTTTTAAAAGAAAATAAAGGAGTGAATGAATCATCATCACAGCAAGAGTTTCTACTATAAAACTGTGTCACGTAACGTCAAAAATAATTCATTCCTGTCTTAAAGAAATAGAATAGAATGAATCAACACAATTGCAAAGAGCATAACTAGAAGATGAATAATGAGTCATTCTAATTTAACGCGTTAAATTAGAATCAAAAATTCAATCGTATCATGTGTAATAAAAAGTCGTTTCAAGCGTCTGACTCATTCACTTCGAACTGTTTTTCTATTGGTTGTTAGTGTAGAGATTCAGACGGTTAAAACGACTGAGTCATACATCTCGTTAACATTTTTCAGCGCATGATACATCCGAATTTATTTAATTGATCGCTTTTAGCGAATGAGATTCACGACTTTCGATGCGTCTTGTTCAGTCGCTTGAGATTGTGGAGTGTGTTTCATTAAAATTCACGACCTTTTTCTTGTAATTGACATTCGAAAAGCAGACAAAAGGTAGGAGTGTTTGTAACCGCATTACGAAGTTGGAAAAATTAAATGCTTGCTCTGCGGATAATTCAAAGGCAGTAGAACATGAAGAATCAGTGCAATCAAACTCACTGAACAGAAAAAGGCCTAACAGTATCTTTTGAATAGAAACTATGTATGCTGAGATGAAAAGTGTCCGATTCGTATCAAGAGAAATAAAGATCTTTATGAATATATTTACTAATGAATATAACTTTGGGCACATTAACAGTACAGAAAAGTAACAAAACGAAATTATTGTTATTAAAACGACAAAAAAATCAAAAGGGGTATGCAAAAATGTGAAAATAAAAAATATTTCATTGATTATATCTGTAAATTAATGTGATCAACCAAAACATAAAAAGATTATGCATAAACAAAAATGATCGATTATATTTGACATTTGAAAAATAGAAAATGAAGTTAAAAACACCGGTAATTTGTAGAAAAACAGAAACTTTGTCTGCTGATATTAGCCAAATATTTGTTTTTGGATTACAGAATTTAACAAAACTGATAATTAAACAAGTAAAAAAAAAATACTTGATATTTAACTAATAAAATAACGTAAATTCTGGGACAATTCAAGCAAATCACTTGATAAATTTTCTTTTTCTTTGTTTACTATGGCTTCGATCATTTTCAGGCATGGATGTTCTACTGCTACATCTAAAGCCAAAAGCATTGCCCATAACACAATAAGAAGATCTTCAATTCCACCAGATTTCACAGTTAGGTTCATTTTAGCATGATTCATCATCAAATACCCTTTAATTTATCTTGTGTTGACGATGTTAAGTAGATACCAAAGGAATGAGGCAACGATCTCTAAGAAAGCCTTTCAAAATAGAACAAATAAACTTAATATCAATAAACTTACCGTATAAAATAGCTTCTTTGCATTGAGTCCGTACAAAAATGCGTCAATTGCCAATAAATCTGCATCAGTTTGCTAAAACAAGAAGCGTTGTGCATAGATAGATAGTAGTCTGATTACATGTGGCATAGCAGTGGTTACTGACTTACATGTGATTGTGGTTCTACGTCGTCAAAAATATTTAATTTATCAAGAAAATTTCTCACTTCGTCTTGTACATTATCGTAATTGTCAAATTTTTTTTGAAAATTGCCCAATATCTAAAAAAATAAATAAACAATCATACTACATATTTCAGATGTTTTCTTGTTGTAATATTGATTATTTTCGGGTAAACGAATGTATCGAACACGTACAGAATAATCACAGCAATGGAAATGATATTTTACTGAAATGCACTTGTAATACTACATTTAAAAATCTTAGAAGTTTTCAGGCTCATTGGAGCCAAACAAAGCATGTATCAAGCGACTCTGACGATGATGAAGGAGATGATACTGCAAATACCAGCAATTTTAAGTACAACATTAATATGGCTGATAATGAAATTGATTGTGAGATTGAAATGACAGATAATAACGATATAGATGAAGAACAAAATGTTCCTGATTTAAAAGTAATCGAAAAACGTGTGTTGTATATGCTTTTAAAACTTCAAGTAATATATATGAGAATTAGATACGTCCTACACTCATGTCAGCAAGTCAGATACAAGATCGATCCATAAGTATGAGTGGTGTCAATCCCTTCTATAATCAAGCAAATACTAGGGTATACCAAAAAAATAGCTTGATTTGTTCAGTTCTAGTATAAACACTTTTCATTTAGAAGTACCCGATGCATTATTTCATTCATATTAATCTACCTGTGATAAATATTGTTTTCTCTGTTCTGTATTACATTGTACCCAATGCATTATGGCATTAAACACGTCTTCCTCACTGATCATATTTAATTCGTCACTTGATATTATATCAATCAATTGATGTACTGGTAAAAATAAAAATTCTTCACTTTCTTTTACCTAATATATATAATGAAATAATTCGATGCTAATAATTCTCATACTAGATAAATGTTAAAAGCAACTTAGTGCATACTTCATTGAAATTATGTTATCAGCAATTTTTAATAATTCTCTACATGAATATGTATCAGCAAATGCTCGTATACCTAGATAATTTGATGGATCTAATTGAGCTTTTAAAAATTCACAACATGTATCTTGAACTTCTTGAATCTAGAAGAGAAAAAATAAATAAATAATAAATAATAAATAGGTGAGAGAAAATGATAGATAAACTACCGGTAGTATACTAGCTGCTGGTAATAATGTTTGGACGTTTTTTTCATCAACTAAAATTGTTGAACAATAACAAAATTCAATGAGTAAATCCATTGCACTTTCATCAACATCATGAATAACAGTTTCCGTTAAACGACTTTCAACTAATTCACTAGTAAACATTGCTTTAAAATAGGGACTACAAGCTAGAACATAGACAAAATACATCAAAGAACTGAAAGTACCAAATAAGGGATTATATTTACACAAAAACACACACCGAAAGGGACAAAATAAATCAAAAGTAAAACACAAATTATATTTATACCAATGTGAGAATAGAACTCTACGAATTTACATGAGTGAGGCAAATCTATTTACGTTTTTTAAATATCTCCGAGTTTTAATTCCTCATTCTGCGTAACGTGTGACCTTTAGTCTGTCGCATCACTGTCCGCTAATGCTGTCATATATCTCTTTCAATTATTCACCTGATAAAACGGCTCGATGTGCTGGAATTTTTGACTGTCCAATGATCAGTAATACATCACATAATTCTTTTTGTTTTCTTAACGTATTTAAATTTGTCAACACAAGTTTCGCATGTGTATTCAGTTCTATCAATAATTTATTTAACGATGAACAATCTTTTAACATATCAGGGTTATTGAGACCAGATGACAACGATGAGCTGGTAAAATTAGGTTGGTACCAGAAGACTAATAGAAGTTTTTTCGTATTTTCCCTAATGTGACTGAGTCAGTCGTTTCATCCACAAAAATCTTTGCTAAAACGACTGAATCAGTCATTTGAACCGTCTTATTCAGCCATTCAGTCACTTCACTTTTCTGACATTCACAGATGAAAGATGTGCTCTTGAGTAAGTGATAATTCGTTATATTTAAAAAAAACTAAATACACATCCAGAAGAAAATCTGACAATTATGACTAAAGCTTTAGTTAAAATAAAAGAATTCAATAAAAATATGATTGAGCTTTTTTGACCATAAGAAACGGTAATTGATGTATGTATATGAGAAGTGTTACAAACAAGTAAATTAACGACACTAATCAACTGTGCAGCTACATAGAATTTGTTGAATAGCATCTAGGATTCGAAATATTTCTGCTCGCTCTTCTTTCAAACGCAATGAGAATTCGCATTTTTAGATATTGTTGATGGTTTTATAATATTTCTTAATAAGTGTTGATGGTGGGGGATCAGATTTTTTAGCGACAGAATCCAATATATCATCATCAAACGAATGCGAATAAAATGTGAAACCATCTCCAACTACTTTCACCATGTACAATGGAATCTAGAGATAGCAATACATTATAACAACGAGCATATTATGAGTGGCTAGCATGACTCACCGTACTTAGTTCTGTATATTTGACTTTCACGTCTGATGCACATGTAGTTGCACTGTATGCACGTTTTTTACTACGCTAGAATACACGAGGAAAATGAAAGGGTAAATATGATCTACTATCCGTTCTGAAAAAGACTGATGATACCCAGCAGTTTTTGAATAACTTTTCAACAGAAAGAGGTAGAACAATGCGGTTTTCAGTATTCGATAGAGGAGATAATGAGAAGTGAAACTGTGAAAAAATCAGGTTAGCGCGTCAGGTTTACCATGGTGAATCCTTCTGTACAAAGGCCGAAAGCTATCCATTTCTAGGCAAAAAAAACGAACTTTTGATTTTGAAATGTTGGTTCTATGCTCTGAATTGTGCGCTCTAAAAGTGCACAAGTTCCGTCTCTCTATCTCTTTTGTTTCGGAAGTTACAGGCAAAACGAATTCAAATAACTCGTGAAAGTCTATATTAGGGTTTTCATGTAAAATTAGGAAATTTTTAACGCACTCAAAATCCAGCCAGACTATGTTAGAATACTACGGTATACTCGGTTTTATCTGCTCAATATGATTCTGTAGTTAAAATTAGTAAAAAATATTCTCTGACCACTGAAGACTTATAGAAAACCTTCTCAAAAATCAGAATAGTTTAGATTGATTTTCAAAATCTGCATTGAATTGTATGAAATAGTGTAGATAAAATAGAGTATACCTATGTATTCTGACATAGTTTGGATCGATTTTGAGTGAGTTATAATTATCTACTTTTATGTGAAAACAGGCAAAGCTGAGCTGTTTTACTAATATAGACTTTCACGAAATAATTGAATCTTTTTCGACAAACCAACATTGCCACAAGAGCCAAGATGGGCGATAACCTATGTTCCATGTGTTCTGGGAGCTCCCAAACATGTAGTTTAGCCAATAGAGAGCTCCTCGGAAAATGCCTGTAACTTCCGAAACAAAAGAGATAGAGAGACGGAACTTGTGCACTTTTAGAGCGCACAATTCAGAGCATAGAACCAACATTTCAAAATCAAAAGTTCGTTTTTTTTGCCTAGAAATGGATAGCTTTCGGCCTTTGTACAGAAGGATTCACCATGGTAAACCTGACGCGCTAACCTGATTTTTTCACAGTTTCACTTCTCATTATCTCCTCTATCGAATACTGAAAACCGCATTGTTCTACCTCTTTCTGTTGAAAAGTTATTCAAAAACTGCCGGGTATCAGTCTTTTTCAGAACGGATAGTAGTATTTATCTTACATGCTTACGATTGTATTGAGCTGCAGCGATTGCTTCACAGACAAGTTGTGGTTCGCCTTCAAGCTGTTCCTCTTTTCTTTTGTTCTATAGAATAAAAACGCACGTGTTGAATAATCAAAGAATTGTTCCAGACAATTACCTCAAATACAGCTAAACGGAATTGATTGTTAATATCCAACATAGTGATGTCAGCAATAGCGGTGGCTCATCCGTTCGACATTTCGAATTTCAATACGTTTCGAGATCTAAAATAATGTACATTGAGATAAATTTCAGCACAGAAAATCAATAACTATCCCATCGGAAGTGGATCTCTCATTTTTTAAGAGTCAGGAAATACAAAAGTAGTACGAAAAACAGTTACCCACTTACAGTGATACAAGATTTTTCTCATTAAATCCCGATAAATTTAATAAGCACAGCACCATGTCATCAACAGCTGATTCATATTTGCCAAAACCAACAGTAGCTAAATAGATCAATTTTGCTAACCACATGGCGTTTGAATCTTTAGGAAACATTCGGTATGCTAGATTATAGATGAAATAGCCAAACAAGCTGTTACCAAGGCTTTAGCACGATCTAAATTAAGTAAATAAACGATTTCTGGTAACACAGACTTGCACTTTAAAAGGAAATGCAATCTCACCTGATAGATCTGGTACTTTTTGTACCAACAAATGTTTCAGTTCATCAACGGAAGCAAAATCAATATTGTACGATAAAAGTGTATCCTCCGCCCAATCACTGCCCCACAATGGACCTGGAAGGCTTTTTCTTTTTAAAGCTCGTTGAGCTCTTACTGAAAATCAGTCAGAACGACAATAATATATCTCATAAAATTTACCAGCGGTCAGCTTTTTTACCTAAACGCTCCTCGAGGATTGTCATTAATTGATTCCGATGTTCGAGTAGTAGTTTCTTGTGTTCGAGTAAGAGGGTCTCTTTTTTAAGAAGATCCGGTGCTAACGATCGATCACTCTTTACTTGTTCATTTACATCTCGTAGTTCATCATTCAACGCTTTCACCTCATCTACGACACATTTGAATTCAGTTGAAAAATCTCTCAGTCATATTAGAATAATCTGAACAGTCATTAAAACCATGACAAAAGTCACAGTGGCTTAAGTCAATAAATTTGACTTAATTCTCTAGAAACGTTCGATCATTTATAAAAGTATTCAAAGTAAAAGTACTTTAAATACAGTTTAAACTAAACTAATTAATTAAAAATGACAATCGCATCGCATCCCCCTTTTAGCGGCAAAAACATTGAGAAGGGAACGAATATTTAAAGATAGACAAATTCTTTGTTTACGCGCAGAAAAAAGCAGTTGAGTATGACTATTTTCACTTAACGGCTATAAAAAGTAATTTTGCTGCTCGTTTGTCCAAACACCGTCCTTCCGCTTAAACTTAGGAGACTTTTTCAACTACAAGCGGACTAGTTCTAACACACCATTGTTGTAATAGTTAGTTGACGCAAGGTGAAAGCATCGTTCGAAACTGCACTGTGAACCATCATTTTTTACTTTGGCAGTTAATGAAATGCAATTTTATTTTTAAAGAAAAAAATCTTTGCTAAAATGACTGAATCAGTCAGTCGAACCGTCTTATTCAGCAATTCAGTCACTTCACTTTTCTGATATACATATGCAGTCTTTTAGCCAATGTATATATATATATGTATATACATTGGCTAAAAGACTGCCAGTCATGATGGCTGACTGCATTAATTTGATTATTGAAATTAAAAAGTTTCACAAAACTTGTTTGGCTGGTGACGACAGTTCTCGAATTCTCAATACGAAACGGCTGCAAAGGTGTACTATTTTAATTAAAAAGTTATAGTGTTGATTGAATGTCGCTAGTCTAGTGGCAGGAAGTTATTGACGAATCTGTGTGAATCAGTTTCAATAGTAACTATCGATCGAAATCAATTCAAACTACCGAAATACCATTTCGAACTCATTCTCATTTTGACTACTGACAGAAATAAAACTGTCATATGTTCTTTCATTGAATTTGACGAGGACAACGGGAAATTTGTTTGTTCAGATCCTTACCCTAGTCGAGACTCCCGACAAAACTTCCATGGGACTCCTGTCATGGGGCCCTGTTAGGTTCCTGCGGGAGTCAGATGGGACTTCTAAGGACTTTCGGTGGACTCCCGCAGGACTCAAAGTCCCACAAGCGTCCCGAGCGAGCCCTCAGAAATCCTTAGGAGTCCCTTGAAAGTCTCACCTGACTCTCGCAAGATTCCGGCAGGACCTCGTGACAGGAGTCCCGTGGGAGTTTTGTCGGGAGTCTCGACTAGGATATGTACATGGTCTAAATTGTTTGGAAAAATTGAAAGTATTGTGAAAATTTCTCACTTGTCATGTACATTTAACAGTATTATCCAAATGTTGTTAGTTCACATATGGTATCTTATATTTGTTCTGTCTGTGAACCTGGGGCCTGTTTCTTAAAAAAACTTAAGTAGAAAATCTGACTTAAGTCAAACTTAAGTCCAAAAAAGTCTTTGTCTTTTTTGACTTAAGTCAGATTTTCTACTTAAGTTTTTTTAAGAAACAGGCCCCAGGACTGGAAGTGGTGTGCTATTGAAATGATATGTTAGACACGACCTATATCGTGTTTCGACCGATTAAACGGAATAAATCAGCCGAAAAGAAAGGTGATTATGATGAAAATGAATGTGTGCTAAAATGATAAATTTTGTTTTACAATCGCTTTTCTGTCACAGAGCCTTGGAAACTTGAACTGGTCCTCGAGACTCTTTCTGTAACTTATCTTTGAACACAGTTGAGAATATATACATCAGACGTCACAAAAATAATTCGATGATTCGATCTTCACTGGCTGTTACTATCCACTTACTAATCGTCGTTCTGACGCTTAACCAGAGAAAAGACAGATTCATTGTCACAATTTCCCTATAAGTCATGCAAATTTAGTGCGGTTAAAGAAAGAAAATGATTTTGTTATTTTAAACTCAACTCGTTTGAACTAAATAAATTTTCTTAACAAAATTTATTTTGTCGAAATAAGTCGAGTTTAAAATTGCAAAATGGTAAAAAGATTATGTTTATCACAAAAATTTGGTTATTTAAGACCTATGCGAGGGTATAATCATTTTATTTACGAACAATTTTAACGTCGTTTAGATTTATATTTGTGCTCAGGACAAGAATGATTAAAAATAAACATTACAAATATGAATAAATTTTAATACCAAAATTTTCCAAACCGCAAGATTTACAATCGTATTCGTCTATTGAGTCGTTAATCTACCAAGAATCTAGATTACAAATACGTTATTCAAGATGTCATATCAACCGACAATGATTAGCAAGTGTTAATGACGATTGTACAGTGAGAGTTTGTAAAATTGAAACAATGAAGTACATGAGAATATTCAACTTTAATAGTCCTATTTTGTCATTAGAATGGAATCTAGTGCTAAGCTATGGCATGTCAACATAATGTTATTATAACGAATCCGAATTTAGCTAAGAAGAATAGACAGGTAATACTGAGTTTCACATTAATAAAATAAAGTCTCCAGCTATCTGACATATTAGATATTTCCCCTAAAGGTGCTAACGTCAACTTTACTCTGCAAAATCGATTATAGTAAATAATAGCCATATTTTAGGTGAACAAGCAAAAACATTGTTTACAGATGAATTTCTTAAATAAACTCAAGCTGATTAATTTGAAGATCAAAATGATTATATTCGATATTGATTCGCAAGGAGATAATTTAATTATCGGGGGCTAAGATACGAAAACCAACGGGTTGAATTTAAATGTACGTTACTGATGTCGGTCTGACCAAATACAAGCTGTGTAGAAGAGATTACAGATGTCCATTCTGGACTCTTGTTGACCACAGTAGATCGACTTTTATTGTTTCATCACTCGTTTGCATCAATTCCGACGAACTGAGGCGATAAACAGTTAGGATTTCTATGAGGAAATTAACAGATATTTTTAATAATTTTTCTTGTTTTTATCTTCTTACGTACATCATAAACAGACATTCAGTTATACTATTGAGAGATCTTGACATGGATCTAGTTTCATAAACTCTATCCGGAATCGACCAAGAAGCACCATTTTAGATCAACATGTATGCATATTTTTTTCTTCTTGTGTTTTAGCTAAGCGTTAAATCATACGAAACGTACAATTCGATCAAGTAAATATCAATAAAAATTATCATTGTTTGCATTGGCTAGTGACGATGGTTCATGTGTTATATCATATTGTGTAGTGATCTATTAAGATTTATTAAAAAATTCATTAATTATATTGGTCAATACTAATAGGACGTAAAATAATCAATAATATTGGTTTTCTAGATTGTTTGTTTCAATCTCCAGCTCCATGAATTTTTACATTTAAATCGGATTAAATATAAACTGGTTTGTTTTTGTTTCAAATCTATTTTATAATTATTTTTTATAAATAATAAAACAGAGATTGTTTCATTTGTTTTTAAATGACGGTATTAAAGTGCTTTCCTCTCATTAGATTAGTTCTGTACTGTGCTATGAGCCGTTTCAGTCGTTTTTTCATCACTACTAAACTACGTTTTATATCTATTTCTTTTCAGATAATTTCAGATTGATGAATGAATTAAAAGAAAAGAAATATCGATCTGTAGAGTTTGAAGCTCTGTGTACTGTTTTGTGAAAATATTTAATAAAACCCTTCTCTTTCACATATCAATTTCTTTTTGTTGATTATTTTTCATTTCTCGATAAAAAGAAAGGCGTATCCAATTAGACAATTGAGAATTGTATAGTGTCCGGAAATTTACATGTAATTATCTGATTTGAATCAAACGAGTTCGTTAATGATGATTATAATTTAAATTGATTTGTGACTAGTTATTGAACAATCGAAAGTATTAATGGATAAATAATTAACTAAAATGATAATTTTTATTTTGTATTGAAAATGGTAGGTTTCTATTAGAATTTTAAGACTACAAACATGTTATTTTCAGAACAACACTATCCATGTTTTGATTTAAGATATAACATACAGTTGCTTGTCACTTTTTGTTAGATATAAACTGATTCGAACCCAGCTGTTTCAAAGTGTTCTTCTCAGAGAAATTTTTCAAAGTCATGTTTGTGTATGACATGACATAAATCTGTAAAATCATATTTATTCTTCCGGTTGTTATTTCTTCTTTTTAGTCCCATCTTTTACCATCTCAAATGACTCAAAATACTCTATTAGAAGTTGTTTTCTTGTTCTTTCAAAAAATTTTGCCGTCGTTTGACCTTTGCTATTCTTTTTATACATGCCTATTTTTTTTTCTTCTCTCTCTCTCTCTCGTTCGTTTGTTCGTTCGTTCGCTCTCTGCAGCCATTCTTTCTCTCAATTTTATATGGGGAAGGGGAGGGAGCTGTTGAATACGTTTTCATCAAAATGTCGATCTTTTTTTATGCTTCATAGAACATCGCGAACAGTAACAAAATAAATAATACAAACTCTTCTTTTACTCTTCCTCTCTTTCTTTCTCTCTCGCTGGAAGTGAGAAAGTGAAAGAAAAAAAAAGAAGTTTTTATGATGTTCACTAAGGTTTTCTATAGATATACGTGGCATCTTCATTATTTCTTCACTCCTTTCTTTTTTGTTTTTCCTGTTAGTATCGAAGGAAAACGAAGAAGAAGAATAAATCTGTAAGTAAAACTGATAAGTTGAAGATCTGCGGATAGATATACGCACTCGCACTGTTTCTCTTTCTCTCTCTCTTGCTCTGTCAAGTCAAAGATGAAGAAATGATGAGATGATGGCATTTTATAGACGAAACTCGCAAGGAAAACACATACAATAGAGAGAGAGAGAAACAGCTAAAAGAAAAAGGAATGTTTAACTGGAAAGAAATTTTTCCCTTGTTCGTTTTTTTTTTTTTTCCATTGATATATGATTTACAGTTGAATGACAACAACAAAAAGAAGTCAAGTGCTTACGGTGTAACTTATTTTCTCGGAAGGTGGGTTTAAAAAAGAAGGAAATATTGAAGTCCCATGCCTGTTTTAAAATTATACAAAACTATATTGTTATTCGATTTCTACTGTTCGTAGTAATAATAAAAACCAAAAATATGGTTATAAATAATATTAACAATTTTTTATCTTTAACAGTTCAATTTTTCATCAAAATTTTTAAAATTTTAAAATTTTTCGAATTAATTTCGTACTTCCAGGTATTTCCTAATAAACATCATCATGACTGTAATGATGCTGTAGCGGAGAAATAGATGATGATAGAGTTATGTGTTCCAAATAGTCTGGAAAAATTTTAAAAAAACTTTTTTCTATTGATATTCGTCTAAAAATCTTTATGTTTTTTGGGATAAATTTTATTTTAATATCTCAGAGATTTTTATGATTTAAGATTTTCATGGAAGAAAACATTTCTTTTTTTTCCTTTTTTTTTTCTTTTTTGTGTCTTATTCTCTAAATTCGGCCTATTTTGATACGTATTATATTCGCATCCTTTTAGTGTGCACATTTTTTTATTACAGTAATTGAATTATAAGAAAACAACCTTGTGTTTGCTTTCGCGTAATTAAAAAAATGCCACGAGCAAAAAAAATGAGGTGGAAGTTCATAATATCAACTAGGGTGTACATCAGTTCATCTTGTAATATAAAAAATAATATGAGAGATATAAATCAGGTACAATGTTATAG